AGCCCCGTTGTGGATGCGTATAAAACCTAAGTGAGGTGATAAGAATACCTTTTGGAAAGTAAGGCTATGTGAAATGCAAGTGAAGCATAGGGCCCGATCATATGCTTGTGTTAAGATTAATATATCATTTCCTCAACACTTTAAATGCAATGGGGTGGATACAGTTCCTATTCATTATCGACTGATGGTCTCGAAAACTTACGTAAAAACGATTATAAGTTAACATTGTTTTGGGTTTACCTCGTTTTCACAACTTTATCGGAGCGACAGGAAGACCTTGTGGAATGTTCCAGCATTGAACCGTTGACTTAGTATATTCCCAAAATTTAATATTGTCTGACGGCCAAGGGCACTCTTATGATCAACAGTGGTAGCAGTAATTATATTATATCAGCGCACACACAAGAGTGTAGGCCTCCAATCACAAGGTATGCTGAGCAAACCATCTGATCAGATCTCATCGGATAAAGAGAATAAAGAAGAAAATGTGAAAAGTGGATTTAGTCTAAATGAATAAACCTACATAAACCAGGTAACATTGATGAGGCTGCGAAACTGGTGTCGTTTTTTATCATCACCGTCTTTTAGGCATTTTTCGGAAAAACCAGTAGCCCCAGTGACTACATTCGTCTGTTCTTGTAGAAGCCTCTCCGTCGGCACAGGCTGGTGGGACCCAGGGTTAGAGTAAACAATCTGGCCTCCTCGACTGAGGCATGCACGCCGGAAAGCTTCGCGAGCAGCGAACATCAAGGTGGAGTAGAAAAGTCCAAGGCGTAGATTCACCAGACCAATATCGGTAGCAGAAACATAGCGAAACGCCAACGCGTTTAGACCAAACGTCATGATCCGCAGGCCAATTTGCAAGACAAATGTGTAGCGTGCCACTGCCATGCCTGCCCCAGTGAGGTGATACGAAGATGGGGCCATCGGTGGAGCATGAAATGAGTCTGGCGACCTAATGCAGTTTGAGGGGCCTGAAACAGTGGCACTATTCGCGGAAGCTAGTGACAGAGACCAGATAGAAGTTTTGGCCAGTTGAGTATGGTTCCCCAAAATGACCACCTCTATCCCCTGGAGCCCAAAAGTTCGGAGGTATCAGTTGGAGGCAGATTGCAACACTAAAGAACATGACGAAAGAATGAAATTTCAAAAGAAAATTACTTGTATAGCTTTGTCCTGTTTAGTCGTCATAGAGGTCCTATGATTAACAATTCCATAATTCTTATCAATAATTGATAACATAATCAAGATAGAATTGAATTTGGAGAAACTTGGTCTTTAATTATAATTATTTACCTTACTCTGAATCTAACATTGGATCATGAGCACAAAAACGTATTAAAATGTCATAAAGAACATATATACGAGGATATAAATAAATAAATAATGTCTATCTGTATATGGCATATCGTTAAGCTTGGCTATAACTTAAAGGAAACCACTCTTCGCCAAACTAGCGAGCATCACAGCCAACTACTATAAGAGGATGATTTAGTGTAGGATGAGACTTACTCGGAAATATTATCATTCTAAAACAAACTATAAGTTACTATAACATGAGATTATACTAAAAAGATACCGTCAAAAAGCTAATTTCATAATGTGTTGAAAAAGGTAAACTAATAAGGGTGAGTTAGAAATCAGAATCCTAAGGCAGTGCAAATTATAATCGGATAAAAAATGTGACGCTTTAACGTATCTTGTAAGTAATAGTTCAGACGAATGTGACTTATATAAAAGACGCCAAGGTCAGTGTATGCCTGGCCTGGAGTATCCGGACATGGTTTAATTAACTATGCGAGCCGGCCACTGCTTAAAAGAATATAGTTCATAGCAAGACACAAACTACAATGTTTAAATTAGCTTGCCCATTCCCTTATCAAAACAGATTAATAATTATCTCACAGTACAAGATAATAGTCTTGAAGTCAAATCCTAATCCCGATATTCCTTTCTCAGGAATTGGTCTCTTTGTGGAGCGCATAACTTTATGCACGGCTATGGTCATTTTGGCTTTATATTTTATGTCACAATGGGTACAACAGCATATACCCCTGGAAACTAGGCTGTCAATTCGCATACGAAACTGTCAATCAGCATGACTGTATACAATATCATTTGATATCTAACGTCAAAAGTTTGAGTAAGATGCAGTGGTCCTTGTGGAGCATTAAACAAATAAAATATCAGTGTTTATAATAAAGGTAAAAAACCTTAACTTTTTCGCTAAATTAAAATCTTTTTTGAATT